AGTGCGAATCGAATCGTATAAACAGCGTTGATTTCAAAATCGCCATTTAGATGTGTGAAATTGTTGACGCGACTCAGACAGGAAATGAATAACATTAACTCCTTTATCCTGGCGCTGTGATGTTTTGATAAATATGATTTCGACTGCACTATACTTGGCAGAGGTATCGAGATTCTTTGAATGTGAAAAAAAAACGTAAAATTAATGGTAATTTTCACGCGTAACGGCGCACATTAGAATGTTTACGGCTTTCTACGCGCATTTCCGTCGGAAAAAGTAACATTTTTTGCATTGAGGGAGGGGGGGGGGGCGTGTGCACTAATAATTAGGGGTGTGACGTCATCAAAATTGTCAATTGAAGCCTTGAACTTTAAAATTCTGTAAATACAATCGTGAATTTTAGAGTAGCCATTCTTGCTATAATAGTAATTTTGGTGTTGTTCTGTTGAAAAATAACACAAAAGACGTTGAAATAAAAATTAATAAATTAGAAATAATTATTAACCCTCTACTAGATACAAAATCTCGCAAGTTCATTGGAATTTTTTAAATTTTGGCGTAAAAATTTTTTTTTTTTAGATGAGTGCGTTTTACATATATTGCTGAATAGAGCTCTATCACACGCTAATAAAAAGCCATGAGTGAAGCTTTAGGGTCTAATGGTTGACAAAAAATAACCCATGTAAAATGGTACCAGACCGACCGGTTGAGGAGGGTTATATTGCTTCTATCACGTCATACAATGCAAAATTGCAGAAATAGAATCCCATGTACAGCTATAGTCAGGGCTGCCATAACGTCCTTACTTCAAAGTTTTGTCTATATTTTGAAGGTCTTTGTCTCAGAAAATATTTTTGCCCTTTTTTGAAAGAAACGTCCTCTTTTGACATGAGTCCTTATTTTTGTTTTATTTCAAGGGTAGAGGCTCTTATTCCGGGCGCTTAGGTTGGTCAATTCGAATGATTGATTTGACAGAAATTATATCAGAATCTTATTGATTGCTAGGCGCAATAATGGCAACAACAACAGCAAATTATTGCCACAATAGCCAAGATCAGTTCGTTTATCTCGAACCAAAATACAACTTAGAAGTGAGATGGAACTAATAGTTTTTTTAAGACTAAAGAACTCATGTAGCAAATCTTTGCTAGTGCAAATTATGATTGGACCCTGGTCGCTCTGACATGAACACATTTTGGTTCATTACATTTCGTTCTTTGTTATCTTATGATTATGTTTCCCTGTTGTCCTTATGTTGGGGTTAATATCGATGGCAGCCCTGGCTATAGGACTTAGGCCTGTAATTGTCCTGGTTTCAAAACATTTTCAATGTCGTATATGGATACGTGGTCCTCACGAAATAGTAGCACTGGCATTATTAATGGTATATTCTTTGAGAGTAAACTCCTTTGATTACGAATCTTATGAACTGACTTGCTCAGAGCTTATTTTGTTAGTCGGGTGAATACCTTTTTGGTAACATATTTGGAAAATACAGTATATTCCTTGAAATTCATATCCCTAAGTTGTACCGTAAAATGTACTTGAATTTACCGCTTATCGAGATGTAGAATTTTCCCCGTATTAAATTTAGGACTCGCCCATGTTTCACACTACCACCCTTCACTGAACACAAACGAGAGACCACCGCACCACTACACAGCAATAGAAGAAGGCATGTGAGTCACTTCACAGTGGTACCGAAAAATTGGCATTTGATTACATTCGCGTGACCTTCTATCTATAAACACGTGTTTTCACTTTCGCCGCGAATTTGCGAAAACCAGCTGCGTCCTGGCAGCTGTGTAAGCTGTTTTAGTTCCCAGGCCGCCATAGCTTTCGGTCGTTCGGAGTAGGGTCCACACATATATATATTAATCGAGGTATGGAATTTAGTGGGCATACAGAGTTTTAGACTATGATTTTTCAAGGGAGAGAAAAGTGTTAAGATGCCTTAAATTCATATGGCTGTGGAACAGCAAGATACAGTAGCATAACGACATAACCTAATCATAATTCTGTAAGTCAGTAATTGCTATATACGGTATCCCCGTGGTTGAACATAATACCATAGATTATTAAGTTCAATTTCTGTAGTTGAGATGTGAAAGCTTTGTTTATTCAGTGATTAGCAATAGCCAATACTGCAATAGGAAGACGTTTTCAAGCCCAGTAGCTGCTGTTTTAGAAGCATCTACAATACTGCAATAGGTACGTCCTAAGCATCAACGTCGTCTTCTTCTGTTCTTGTTTCCTGCTGAGACAATATGACATTGCAGTTTTAAGTATCATTGTTATTTGGTTTATCTGGTACATATACCATACAGAGATTCAAATCAATCAAAACCAATGCTGCAATGCATTATAATATCCTGATTCGCATACAAATAATTTTTAAAGCTGGAGCTGGAGGACTATCACTATCTGATTATTGTATATTACCTATTAGGCTAAAGTTTGTCTTGAATTCAATCTTTAAATGGTATAAACAGTTCAGTTGGTTTTATAGAATGTGACAGCCGGGAAGTTCCAAACATTTTATTCACACTAAATTCTGAACTCGACTGTTATAAGTTTTACATCACTTTTTCATTAATTTTGAAATTCAAATTGAAAAATGATAGGCACTTCCCGAATCCGACGGTTTACTATCACCAGGGATGGCCATTTCCGAATACTAAACTATTCCGAATACATTCTAAAATAATGTTTTCGAATCTGGAATTCCGAATACATTCTAAAATCGAAAATAACACATTTTTGTTTTAGTTCATTAAAACCCAGTAAATTAGGAAATAAGCTTCAAAAGAAATATCAGAATGAAGCCATAAACCAACAGTATATGTACACAAAGTAATTGATAGTTTATAGCTATCAATAAAAAATAATAGCAACTTGTGACACAGTCAGTTTATTAAAATTATTCACTTTGTACAAATGACCATATGAAAAGATAGCCAAGGAGTTGGGGTGACGCTTTCTATTATTGGTACCATGATATTACGATAATAGTCTGACAAAAATACTACTTGTATACAGATAATTGTGTATATTTTCTGGGAGTTATAAAATTTATTGGCAATACAGGCAACTGAAACAAGCCACAACAATCGAAAATCCATCATGCCTTTAAAAATTCTAATATTTAAGCTTAGAGTATTCTACCACCTACCAGTATATTTGTATATTAATTTATGTTAACCATATTGTTAATATGTGTAACATATTGTTGTGTTTGAAATTAGAAATAAATTAACAGAGAATAGATGACCACCACTGCCAGCCGCGCAGCCAGGATTTTCGAAATCAAAAATTCCCATTGCCGCCTGTAACACCCACCGCGATTCCGCGATCGTCAAAAGAGCCGTCTTTTCAGCGTATAATGATCATCCTGTTACATAAAATATTTAATCCATGACAACTACGATATTCTAAAATATCTTTATATATTAATTTAATGTGTTCAACGTAACTCGCGGTTGCTTTTTCTTACGTCAAAAAAAAACATTATTATTCGGTCCACAGCGATCTGTGACCTAAAAGTACGAGATAAACCGCCTGATGTATTTAATTTTAATACGTATTTTTGCAAACTTGCCAACTCGGTATCGCCGTTAGAAAAATCTCAAATAATGATATAAAATCCTGTTAAGTGTAGTGTATAATTCATTTCATACAATGAATATACATACAAAGTTGAGCAGTAAATTAAAAATACATATTTATTGCCGCGATTATGCCACCTGTTAAAAGAGTCGACTTTTACAACAAATAATATAACAACGAATATATATTTTTCTGTTGTGCAAAGTGATGAATTCGTGACCGATACGGGCCTATTTAAAATGTCTTGCTTTATTAATTTAATTGTCTCCAATTTAACCTTCGGTTGCGTCGACAAAATAAAATCCTCACCACTCTTATATACCATTGCAATCCGCGATCATAAGAATAAAAACGTGTGGTAAACTGCCCGATTAAATAATGTTCAGATCCGTATTTTGCGAATTCGGCAAATATTTAGATGTAGGCCTACTTGTTAACAGTGACTCCACTCCGCTCAATCGAAATGCTGACACTCTGATTATTTTTAGATAAAACCGTTCGAAAAATCCATAAATCTGCTGTAACATCTCAGAGTAAAATTTATTTCATCACAATAAAATTGATTGAATATACTTTAGATTAATTATATTAAATACATCCTCACAACCCGGGAAAAAGTCGCGTTTCAAGTATTCGACGGCAATTCAAAGTAATGAATAATCAGGCAAATCCCGCCCTCAATTCGTGACGATATGTTTCTAAACGCCCGACCAAACATAATGTGTACGGTAGGCCCACAGAATTTTGCGATTTTCACTGCCTAGAAAAGCGTTTTATAAATTTTCACGGGTTTCAATAAAACTTATATTGTTTGCGGTTTTATATTCAGTATTTTAAATTGCCGCTTTTCAATCAAAAAGTTGCGTTGTCTTTAGAAACTCGCCGCCGATGATTGTATTTACCAGATTCACAATTCTGTGCGCGTACGTTATCGTGGAACAAATTTGTGGAAAATTTTCGTTTTAGAGAAAATAACACAAACGTAAAAGCGTTTACGGCCCAAATAACACGTTACGCTGATGAGTGATGAAAACAATCACGCGCAAGTTTTTATCGAGAATGTTTTCATTCAACGGAAACGTCTTGGAAGCGGCGTCGAAAATGTGTGACGTCACACAAATATTCGATATTCTTATGAACGCTAATTCCGATATTCGAATGACGAGATATTCGAATACATTCGAATACTTTATTCGAATTGGCCATCCCTGACTATCACAGCACATTTTCTCTAGTTACATAAGATTGACTTGAGTTGTTTCAATTAAAAATTCTGAAACTTCATAAAACAAAGGAGGGGATTCCTGAACCTAAAGTATTCCTGTATTTAGTGATGTATAGAACTGATCAGATTGTATGAATTCCTTCAAACTGTTTAGCCAACCAATAGCATGTGGCATCTTGGGAGGGACAGCTTCAAGCATTTATGCACCGCTTGCTACATTCATTTAACATATTCACTTTATGTTTCATAGTTTCAAAAAGTATTTGTAATAAACTGAGTCCGTCAACATGCCAAGAATTGATAATGACATCAAGTTGGATTTCAAGGACGTCTTGTTAAGACCAAAGAGAAGCACCTTGAAAAGTAGAAGTCAAGTCAATCTTAACCGGCACATTGTCTTCAGAAATTCAAAACAAACCTATGAGGGAGTTCCAGTCATAGCTGCTAACATGGATACCACTGGCACTTTTGAAATGGCAAAAACATTTGCTTCACATGGTATGTTTGTGGCAGTACATAAGCACTATGGAACAGAAGATTGGGCTAATTTTGCAAAGGAAAATCCTTCATGTTTGGACAATGTTGCGATAAGCTCTGGTACAAGTGATGCGGATTTTGAAAGAATCAGTGCTACAATAAAGTTGGTTCCAGAAATAAAATATATATGTTTGGATGTTGCCAATGGATACTCTGAATATTTTGTTGAATATGTCAAAAAAGTTAGACATGCTTTTCCTCAGCACACAATATTCGCTGGGAATGTTGTAACTGGTGAGATGGTTGAAGAGTTGATACTGGCTGGTGCAGATGTCATAAAGGTTGGCATTGGTCCAGGATCTGTATGTACAACAAGAAAGAAAACTGGAGTCGGATATCCCCAAGTCAGTGCAGTAATTGAATGTGCTGATGCCGCTCATGGCCTTGGAGGTCACATCATTTCCGACGGTGGTTGCTCTTGTCCTGGAGATGTTGCCAAAGCATTTGGTGCAGGGGCAGACTTTGTGATGATTGGTGGTCTTTTTGCTGGGCATGACCAATCAGGTGGAGAAACTATAGAAAGGGAAGGTAAAAAATACAAATTGTTTTATGGAATGAGTTCCACTACTGCCATGCAAAAGCATGTTGGTGGTGTTGCGGAATATAGGGCTTCGGAAGGTAAGACTGTAGAAGTCCCATATAGGGGTGATGTAAATGACACTGTGAGAGACATTCTAGGTGGAATTCGTTCTACATGTACTTATGTTGGAGCTTCAAAGTTGAAAGAACTTGGTAGACGTACTACGTTTATAAGAGTCACACAACAGATAAATAACATGTATGGTAGTTGAAAAGTTAATTAAAAGTTAATTATTTGCAATACTGTGTACCAAAAATATCTTCAAGAATAATCAATAGTCCGGTCTTGATTCACAAAATTTTCATCGCTTTTCGTTGTGCTATTTTTGCCCTTAGTCTAGTTTTAATATTGTAGCTTGTTATTGCATATAATTCTACTACTTTGATTTCAGAATGTTTAATGTCTATCTAGATACACAAAACTTTGCATTGCTTTTGTTGTGCCATTTTTGCCGTTTGCCTATTGTTATTAATAATTGCATCTAATTCTACTATGATCAACTTGAAAAATTTTAATAGTTGAGACTTGACAAGAGCTAGGCATATGAAAATTTTGCATCACAGCGATCATTTTATTTTTTGTCTGCCGAGCATTGAGGTAAATGCATTCATTCATGTTTACAATGCGATTCTGACTCTTTTTTTTTTTCTAGCCAGTTACTCATAACATACCATTCGACTTGCCCACTGTCAACAGTAACTAGCTTAATGCATGTAACATTCTATTCAATCACTCATTTGATAATCTTTAATAGCTTTGATCATGATACAAGTACATACTATAATCGTTGTTTTTGGGAATATTGACAAAGTGTAATCTTATTTTGGTGGGTGGGTATTTTGCAAAAAAATAATAAATCAGGTTATTCGTATATGGACCCTGCTTGTAAGTAAGCCCCTATTACACAAAAGATGAACAAGGTAGCGATCTACTCAATAGCGACACCGCATGTCCCATCAGAGATATGATGAATGCAAAAGAAAGTTGGAGCAGAGCTTTCGTGAGATATCGCACGTATCTAATAGACAAATACCTATCAACATAAACTGGCAGTGGCTTGCTATCAAATCTCAACACCCTGATTAAAAATTTCACGATTTAATATCATCACTGTGTACATTATAGAGTTCACAAGCCTATTTACATGAGTTGCATATTGTTAATAATGAAATTTCAAATTAATGTGAGAGTACTGTGGCACCATAAGTTGTTACAGGAGTTAAAAAAATTCATAATTCTGTGTGGAAAAAAAATAGTTCTGGAGGCCACGAGAAAAATAGAAATAAACCATGCAAAGAAAGAAAACAAAATGTGCAATGAAATATCAACTCTTGAAAACGGCACATGCCCCACTTGGTCCTTCTGGACTGATTCCACCGAAAACGTACAACGCTCCTTGAAACACGATGGATGAACAAGTGCTGTGTGCTACAGGCATATCCGAAAGACGTTTCCATTTCTTTGAATCTGGATCGAACATTTCAGTAGAAGCAAGTGGCTTACCTTGGTTTCCCAGCCCGCCTGTGATAAAAACTTTGTTATCTATTGCCACAGCAGTGAAGTCACCCCGCTTGGTGGGAACATTCATCTTCTTAGTTGAGAACCATTCACCCTTGTCTTGCTGTTCTGTAGAATATATTTCACATGCATCTGAAAATCCTTGTTGTGCAGTTTCCTTCAAACCACCCAATGAAATCAAATATTTATCAGTCATAACATATGATGGAAATAATCTTTTAGTTATCATTTGGGGGTACGCAGTCCAACACCTTGAATCATAGTCGTACACCTCGAATGTAGAAACTGGCAATTTCCCTTGTCTTCCACCAACAACATACACCTTGTTGTTTTTTAGAAAAGCGGACGATGCGTATCGTGCAGTCGGCATGGGTGGGAATGCTTGCCACCTCTCCCGATTCCCGCTAGAGCTCTCGACATCTAAGCATTTGAAATGATCTCTTGGGTTAGTATCAGAACCCATTCCACCAAAAATATGAATTTTTCCATCTTTTGTAATATGTGCCATTCCCATCAAAGCTTCTGACAGTGGCTGCAGGCGCTTCCATTTATTTTCATCAATTTTATAGAACTCTACAGCATCCACAGGAAGCTGGTCACACCCAATCCCTCCTATTGCTACAATTTTGTTGGATATAGCCACCGTGATGGGTGCAGCTCTTTTTGATGGCATATGTTTTAGACTTGTCCATTCATTTGAACTGGGATCGTAAACTTCCAATGTATTTACAGGTTGACCCATCTTGTCGCAACCACCCACTACATATATTTTCCCATCAATACTCACAGCACTAGAGTAAACCCGTGGGTCACACATGGGGTTTATGCTAGACCAACTAAAATTAGCCGCCATATTTTTTCTGTAAATCATTAAAATAATTTTGTTCTGTTTCAACTATCGATAATCACTCAAAGCCAAGTTTGATGACATGGAACTAGTTACTCTTGTCTGTGGGCATTTTCATTTGTATTGCTCAAAGTAAGACCACTGGTCTGTACCTTATACAGACGCCCACACTATCTTTTCGGACCACAATCAGACAAGACAGTTTGAGTTGTTATTTCAGTATTTTGATTTACTTGGGAGTTGTTTGAAAATATGAGGACATTTGTCGGTTTGTGCATAGTTAGGGTCATACAGGAGCGTTACATGTATGTATGTTTATTCGTCTCGTAATAGGGATAAAAAAATAAATGAACGAATATTATTATGTAAGACGGGATGCATGCACAAGACCGTACTGGCCTAAAACACAAATGTGCGGCATTTTTAACAAATATAAAACAAAAAACATTAGATTAAATAATAGTATGGTCCCTTATATAGACAGTTGTGCAAGGTGGGGCAATGCGTCGTTTGGTGTGGTGAAAGTGGACAAGTGGTAAGGGTTGAGTATACAGAACTGTTTATACAGGGGAGTTTATAAGACAAGACAATATATATAAATAGAGACAACACAACACCAAATAAACATATACCATACCCATACATAACGCAACTCGTCATACAGTCATATGCTTACTGATGCCGTACTGCAGTCTGGCAGTGCTCTGTGCCTGCAGTATGTTTATGTTACATACAATTTAGACCCCGAATAATAAACGTCACTTGTGTTTTTTATATCTTTCTTTATACATGTTTGTGTGTGCTAGATGAGTAAACTGGCACATGTATTTCTACATGTTTTAAACTTTATTGAAGGTTTTCACGATTTTCCCAAACTTTTATGTGTTCATTGTTTTTGTATGGTTTTTTTTTGCGGAAATCAAAATGAACTTATACTAGCCATTCCTGAACTAATGCAGTAACCACAACTAATTTAACGAGTTATGTTCCGAAACTCTGAAGGCTACAGTTAGCTTTCATCATATTGCTCACTCTGTAACTTCACCAAGGGCATTTCACGTTTTCATAGATCAACAATGCCGTTGATAAATGCTACCGGCCCAGCAGTGATCAACGTAAAAAGTGAGTGATGTACGGAGTCAAATACTAAATATAACTTTGATTACGGTACCAAGTGTAGCCGTAAATGGGTGTGACAATTTTTTTTATTTGTTTCCAGCTTTTTACTCGGATTTGCTGTTAGCTTTGAGAAAATCGAGTTCTTTTTTTTCCAAATTTTGGTTTTGTAATAACGGGGGCGAGATTTCTCCAAAATCGAGTTTTTGTGGGAATTTGTAACATAAAACTTCCATTATAACTATAACCAAGATATCCGGGATCTTTCGTAGGAAGCCCCGCCAAAAAACACCCCTTCTCCCCCATCGCCTCAAAATAGAGAAAAATTAGTGATTATCCGGTTATTTCAAAACGTTGAAGGGGTGTTTTTCTCAAATGTCACATTTTTACACTGCTGGAGGCGGTCAGTGGTGGGATTCAAATTTTTTTGTCAGCCGGTTCCATCACAGAAGTCATTTTTTTTCAGCAAATAAACTGATCAATGCTAACCGGTTCGCTGATCTCATAAAATTACGTGAGACGGTTCTATAGAACCGGTGCGAACCGACTGAATCCCACCACTGGAGGCGGTGCCATTCTACGAAAGATCCCAAACTGTACACGAAAAAACAGGCATCTCGGCACATGAAGAAAAAAAGCAATTTAAGTTTTTGTTATCAGAATCACCACCTTGTTGGCGTATAACCTACTGATTAACACCTTCAATATGTATAATGAAATACAAAGCATAGTTTTATGATTTCAATATTCAACCTGAGGGGGAAAAGCCTATAACACAATTTGATTATATATATATTTAGTAACAGGTCTATATCGGTATGGAAATATTCTATCAGTAGCACTACAAGTTGTGTCAACTTGAGAGATCTGCAGCAATTCTCATAGATCGTGTTATTTTGTTCATGCCTGGTCGATAAAATAATCTCTGTACGCCGAATGCATTAAAAATCCCTACCAAATAGAAGTTTCCCTAACATTGCATACGTAAATCGTTTCAATTTTCATCCCAACAACTGACATGCAATAGTATACTGACATCTGCGTCATACAGTCAACGAACGATACAGTACGGTGAACGAACATGTTATTGCCCTCGTTCTTCAACTCTCTGGTCCGAAAAGAACAAGCAGCAGTTTAGAAAATTGGGTGTTTAATCAATCACTCATGTTTACTTTCAACTCATTGCACGTTTAGTTGTCTCGCAACCTATATTTGAGATAACATTGGCGAAATATTTGTGCAATGGAAACGTCGACCTGCACACACTCAAAATTAAATATATTCCGTCTATCTTCTAAGCGATTTAGGCCGTGAGACAAGGCCTTGAAAACGACTACAAAATGAATTTAGTAACAATTAATACCTTGTTCCCATTTCCAAAAGTTTCACGTTTTACAAAAAAGACGCTTTTACTACAAGAAATATGTGTAACAATATGCCCTATATCTCTACTTTTCCGGCAACATTGGCCAATGAACGCAGACTTCTGCATGACGTAACAATCACAATTTTATCATCTGTTGGCGGTCGGATGAATCTCAGTTTGTACCGATCGATCTTGCACAGCCTTTCCATCGTATTTTTTTAGTTTTATTAGTTGGGTTATGCTAAGACGATGTTAGCATAAAAAGTATAAGTAAGTTATCATGTCAGATTGATACAACCGAATTTGGACCAAGGCACAATAATCTGTTGCAATATGTGGACCAAAAGTTTGGAATTTCCTGTCTAAAAAATCAACACCACAATTCCATACAAAAGTTGAGCAATATACACTCATGTTAGCTAACTTGTCCATATTATCTTATTTTTCCGATTTAATATGATTATTATTCAAAATCCGCCATTCAGTTGTATTATCCAAACTCACTTGCTTTAAACCAGGGGTGTGCAACCTTTAATACAGGAGGGTCAGATACAAGGGACTGGGTGGAACCACCGGCCCACCCCTTTTTAACATAGGCTTTATAGTAGTTGCAGGCACAACAATTTTGGTTATTGATCTTATGACATTGTTGTTTACTTATTGTCAATGTGATGTTGTTTGTGTCGTGGCCAAAGGGTTAAAGTCGTATGGAAATTCGCTGCCCCGCACTACGTCGTCCAAATGACCATCTGACAAGTGAGCACCAAATTTATTCTTATTGTAATGCACTTTATATGGAGCTGCTCACAGCAAAATGTGCTTCCGAACATTACACGTTTTGCACTGTCGCACAGATGAGCAGTGGCTCAGTCCCGGGATCTCGGAGTCGAATTTTGCATTTGAAATGACGTTTAACATTAAATCCCTTAAATGAATGCGATGCTGACCTGGCATATCAAGCAAAATAGGTTTGAAATAGCGAAAATGAAAAACATTTTCCTGTCCAAGCACTTTGGAATGTTCGAACCGCGTCGCAAACTCCCCTCTGTTTTCTCGACTTCTTCATATTTTAATAAACTCGCGTGGAGACAATAATAATTTTAGGATTAAATTTTGTTTTATGCATTAAAGGTCGGGCCGTTCGAGGGCCGCAAAAAAAAAATAGTTCGACAACTCCCGATTTATGGAGTTTTCAAAATAAATTATTATCTGCCCATTTAATGCAGATTTCTCTTTAAAGATGTTTGTTGCATATTAGTAATTTAATTATGGAAACCACTGATTGTCACTCTGTTTAAGTGCCAATTTAGGTTAAGATCATAAAATAACAAACTTCCACAGGATGCAGGATTATATGATCAAAAAGATAAATTGGAATGGATTCCATTTTGGTAGTAGGAAAATGGTAGTAATAAATTGAAACGTTGATAGTTGGCCGATGACTGAATGCCAAACCAAAGTACGGTAATTTGCTTACTTTGTTTATACATATTTTGAATAAAGTTGGGAATATAGAGTCATTAATTGTTTACAAATTCACATTAATTTCAATAGAATAAATATTTTAAATCACTGGTTAAAATTATCTAAAATTTTGCGGCAAATTAAAAAAAAATGTATTTGTTGAAAAAATGAAATTTATTCTAAAACAGTGTTTATGTTCCACAATACTCTGTCATCGAGAGCATATTTGCCTTGCATCGAAAATTTTGGAGTAGTATGGTTATAAAATGGGAAATCATAAAATTGAAACTGCATAATTATAAGGTATTCAATCATTTATGGTCACACAGACTTAGAACAATCCTGTTTCCTTTTATGATAAGATTCATATTCTTCTTTATATTTTCTCATTAAACTCTTCCTTGACAGTTGGTCAGCCTTTATAAAATATAATAATATTCTACAAGTTATCTTATATCTTTTATAACTTACTATCTATATTTATACCTGTCGTATAGGTTCTGGCAATCTGTGCTTACAACATGCAAGTACAACATTCACAGCAGTATCAAGGGTGCATCGATGACCTATAGACACATAAACAGGTTTTCGGCTTTCATCTGATGTTCTCAATGCCTGAAAAACAATTATAATTGCATAGCAAAGAGCAATCTAAATTAGAAAAAAATAATTTATTTTTAGTGATCAATGTACATACCTTACCGAGTATTTCACCATTTTTAGTAGCAATATTAAATGCACTGCCTTTGCTTTCCATTTCTTTGATCTGAGGTAAAAATTGAGCGTTATCATTAATATATTATTGTTTATTTTTACCATTCAATATCTTAACACAAAAGAGAGTGAAGGAATTCTATCACTGATACATTTATAAAGTGGAGTATTTGAAGAATCCCAGAACTACAACAGCAAAGCAAAAAAATTACTAGAATCACTGTCATGTATTACATACCTTTGCACTATGATCATCATCTCTCTCAATCCCTAGTTCTGGCATGACTAGCAAATTTTTTGCGAGCCCGATACTTGGAATGTTGCAGTCTATACCAAATTTAACAGCACTACCATATCTACGCCAGTGCAGCAAACCATTGCCATCCACAATAACAATCTAGGATAGTATTTTCAAATTATTTTTAACAAAACTAACATTTATTGGGTTGGTGTAAAAATGGAGTTGGAGGGAAACACATTCTAACTAGGGTCAATGTCTTGCACAAGGGGTAAAGGTGATATCCATGCTTATCCCGATGAAGGAGAGGAGTAATAGGAATGGTTATTTATTCACTTTACCAAAAAAAATATATGTGTACCAAAAACCATATATAGTGTTGTCACTGTTGTGTACCAAAAAAGATATATAACCTTGGGTGGTGAAGACCGTAAAACACCAGTATTTACATGTAACAAGTTGCAAAGATGGAAGCAGCTAATCAGTGGCATATGTTAAAAACTTTCATTCTTACTTGAGGCATGAAATCAGTTTTTGCAACTTTCTCCAACTTCCCTTTAAAATACTGTGCTTCTCTATAGGCAAGATATCCAGAAATGTATGGCACATCAATATATTCCTCAGTGGTGTCTTCATATATGACCTGAAAATTTTATATTTACAACTTTCTTAGTTTTTGGCTTTGACTTTCAAAATCAAATACTTTTAACAGTCTGGCTGTGAGATTCAGGATGCATACGTAGCATTTGAGTTTTAAAAATAGCTTGTTAAGTAGAGTATAATCCAGGTCATCTAATTGCTTTTTGGTTTCAGCAAATTTCGCTACTATATTACATCAGAAATCAATCTGCAAATGTGAACGGCGGTATTTCTTAAGATGTTTTAAGTTTTGAACACACTACTTTTGAGTGGTTATTGGGTACTGCCGTAGTATGTGTACCAGGTTAGGGTTTGGCCATAATTTTATCCCGATTTTCCTTATTTTAGTTCTATTACGAGTTCGGGGACTGTCTGTGTTAGCCAAGTTGAATATACCCCCTGCCCATAGGTTTCACTCCCTTTATACAACTTGATGTAACGAAGGCAAACAAAATTAGTTACCTCCAGATTGGTACACACACTTCTTGAGCACCAAATAAAGAATATCTACACATACTTACCTCTAAATCCGGGAACGACAAGACCACTAATGTAACACATGCTATGTTATTTCTGGTTATGTGATATGATATATCCAAGCCACCCACTCTTTTCAATTCAGAATAATTTCCACCACCTATTGCCCATGATTCTGTGTCTTTTGTTATAACTTGACCAGATTCCATCTCCATACTGCCAAAATGATTGACAAATGTTTAATAAATATTTCCTTCATTTAAATTATTTAATACTATGCTGTTTCCATAACATGAGAATAATAACCTTCTAAACTTCTCTATCCACTCCATACGATTTTCATCAGAAAGAACAGTCTCTTGTTGAGTTTCTGAATTTATTGCAAAAAATTACAATTTTTCAATATGGATTATGCACCATGAGGTTTACTTTTCAATGTGCAGTATATTTTAGTAGTATATTGATTGTTAATTTATCAAAAGTTGATACCGCAGAAACAAAGAACAGGCAGAAATTACAGTGGGTGTGTGAATTATGATAACTACAATATGGAAGAATAAGAATAAATGTAAAAATTGTCAATACAACAATATGCGAACAAATTTCTTCACACCATTTTCAAATATTAAAAAACATATATTGCAGTGACTATGTTGAAGAATAATATTTCCAAATTTAGGTTTATGTATGAGAACCTCAATGGAAGTATTTAAGCAAACTCAAATCTGACCGTTTCTATATACTAGAGACAACTATTATGCTGACTAGACTTATGCTTTGATAGATTGCGGATTCATACAGAATGAACATAGAAAAATATTTATTTACATGCCTAAATTGTTGTGAACAGTTGTTTTGGTTTGGATTACCGTACTAATACAGTAGCCTATTACAGAAATTAAAAGCATTGCATTCCTTACTAATGGGAGTATTAGTTACAACCTTTGCAGCAATTAAAATTGCATTCATGTCAAACCACAGCATGTACCTTTATTATCTCCTTCGGTAGTTTTAGTTTCGAGATTCTTTTTTGGTTGCTCAACAACATCAGCCACCTGTTCAAGCACAGAATCTTTTGTGTGCTGGTTATCAGTGGCGGAACTTTGCTTATTTTTTTTCTCGGTTGGCATACTAAAGTCTTCACAATCCTTATCAATTGCTTCTGGCATGGAGTCTTTATTTAAAGCTTTTACAGATTCATTGCTTTCAATATTAGCAGGTTTATCAGATGGGCTGTTGCCAGTATTGTCAGGGTCACTTGATCGCCTTTTCGTCCTGTTAGAAGCATGGAGTTCTGAAAAATCTCCTGTTAAGGATGAACTCATGACAGGAGGAACATCATCTTTAACCGTTTGAGTATCAGCACCAACTTCCATATTTTCTGGAACAGATTGCGGTTTGTCAACATCTTCATCCATTTTTTCTGATTGAGATTCAAGTGTTTGCCCTTGGGGGTGTGAGTCCGAGACTCCTTCAGGTGGGAAATTTTCCTCAACTGCAGGAGGAACATTATTTTTGACCATCTTCATATCAGAACCAACTTTTACATCTTGTGGGACAAATTGGGGTTTTTCTACATCCTCATCCATTTTTTCTGATTGAGATGTAAGTGTTTGCTCTGGGGGCTGGGAATCAGAGACTCCTCCAGGAGGGAAATATTCTTCAACCAGACGGTTGTAGATTTCGACATCTTTTTGCATGAACAAACAAAACAACACAATATCAACATTTTTGTAATTTTTTTTCAACCAGTTTTTGGTAGTTTCCAGAGCAACATGAGCGGCAGATTCATTCGGATATCCATAGATACCCGTGGATATGCATGGAAATGCAATGCTTCTCAATTTGTGCTTTCGAACCAGACTCAGAGAATTCTCATAACAGCTGGATAAAAGTTCCGAATCTTCACCAATTGGGCCCACAGTGTGGATAACATGTTTAGAAGGCAGTTTATACCCTTTTGTAATTTTAGCTCCACCAGTTTCACAACCATTAAGACCTTTACATTCCTTTAGCAACTCTTTTCCTGCGGCCGCATGTATCGCCCCATCTACTCCTCCACCTCCAAGTAAACTTCTGTTTGCAGCATTTACAATGGCATCAAACCCAAGTCGCGTTATATCACCACGCCATAGGCCAATTCTAGATCGATAAATGTCTTTCCTGGGGCGCAAGAGTTTTAATTTCTTTAATAGTGACAATATGTCTAGAATTCATTCTGTCATTGCATGTCTACATATAAAATAAATTATAATTTGAGATGTAGGTCCATTAGCAAATGAAACATTTTGCAATATTTGATGCTGTACGATGGTTGATAACGCCGTTTATTTGAAAAATGTTTTTGAAATATTGAAATGAAATAAAATAACTTTCTAATTTTCAAGTACAAATGTTCGATAGTCCTGTTATATCAAAAGTACAAAAATAAAGCATGTAACAATGCTGTGTTGGTAGATTATCGGGCCAATATTAGAGCTTTAGGAAGTCTTGACCTAAATTTTTGTGGGGGAAAATGCAGACTGCAGAGGATTAAAGCAGTGCTTCTGAACTGGGTGACTGCGGACCAATAGAGTCTGCAAACCTCGCAAAATCTTTCAGGGGGTCAATGAAAGCTAATGATTTTCATAATTTGTAAATCGGGCCAATAAGTCAGAATAAAAAATTCCTGATATAGAAAAGAGGTTCCAAGTTCCAAAATTAATAGCTAAATATAAAATCACTCTACTTCTTGTAAGATGTTCACAGAAAAATCTCTGACGCAATTTTACACAAATTATTGACTCATATTCTTATATATGAGAGCAATATGTATTATTGTACTATTCACTTCCACATACCCTTGTATACCGGTAGTCATAAAACAAAAACCAGAAAACATTCACAAGTACGTTTTACCATTGGTTCGATGTCTATTTCTGCATTTGCTTGTATACTGATATACGTTTACCATAGACGCTAATTTGTTATGCTAATCGTAAGTAATATTTATTCAGCACCATGTAAAAATTGAAGACATATTTCAGTATTTACATACAGACATAGGGAAACAAAAACATTCACAGGCAGACAGGTGAAGAGAGGCCCGGAAAACCTCAAGAGGTTAATTAGCTGTGACACTCTACGAAGTATTAATGCTATTAAAAGATGATCAAAAAATAGGAACAATGAAAAACTACATTAGTGAGGCATTGTTATTAAATTTCTAAAGTCACAAGGCTGATGTTCAAATTGGGCACAAATAGTGACAAAAATTATTATGATACGAGGGCAAGTTAATCAAGATTTTGGCAAAATATTTTTTTTTCCTGAAAGTTCTAAATACTGAAAGCAATAATATAGTAATAATACAACTCGAATATAAGGAATCACACATGGTCTCTGTTTTAACCTATTCATAGCCATTAAAAAGATGAATTTTTAATCGTTCACTGAATGTTGCCAGTATTCTTTTGAAATTTTTTCCAAATTAGGATGCCTACTGTTTTGAGTGATTTTTTTGGTATGGAAAATGAGCATCGAGGCATGAAATAAATTCTTTTTGTAACACTCCTTGTGGCATGGCCATGAATGGTTGAAATTTTAGTGAAAAAGTTATAAATATTGAGGGTAGCATATGATTTTCAAAGCGATACATAAAAATATCATTCGGTTGTAATACTCCACACTGCTTGTATAAAAGTGAGTTATGAACGTGCTGTGATTTTGAAAATTCATGTAGTGAATTGCCTTGTTATGCAGCACGACTAGTGGTTTAAGCGCAGTTTTATTAGCTCATCCCTACCTGATTATGCCATAATTCAGATGAGAGTATAGGTATAAAACTATATAATATACAATTTTTAATGCATAGATATTGAGGATTCAATGTGATTTATACAATATTCTGAGTGATTGTGAAACTTTTTTTACATACCGTACTGCCGTAAGTGATCTATATGAAGCTTCCATGACATGTTCTCATCTACGGTTACACCCAAATACTCAATACATTTTGTTGTTTCTATTTTTTTATTGTCAATTTGAGATGGAACTGCCAAGATATTTGCCTGGAACCATAAACCATGAATTTATTTTTTGAAAGTTTTAGAGATAATTTATTACCGGTACTTTTTAGCCATATGTTGACCATCTCGATTTTTTTATTGATCGAAATCTACAGTTCTTCACAGCGCGTAGCAGACTAGTCATTGATATATTTACCCATAGTTAACTTAATAGTTCCCTTTTCTATGAAACGAGTCATTTCTTTTTCACTGAATTAAAGCGGAGGTAGCAAAGGGTCAAAGGGTATGAATGTTCGCAATTATCAATCAAGCGAAATAGCCCTTATGTCACAACTCACATCAACTTTATTTTACTTTCTGAACTTGCAACCCAACAAGAGGTACAAACACAATCCAAAGGCCACCGCAATGCCAGCAAAATTCCAGCCAAATCTTGAAAAAGTTGTACCGAATGTCATATCGAAGTGTGGCCGTGATTTTATACGAAATATTTGACTATTTCGAATCTTTTCGGTCACAGGGGAAAAAATTCGAAAACACCACTGGATAGAAGACTACTTATAGAACTTATTCCAACGAAAAAATTGAAGTGACATCCCACGAGTTTTCGAACTTTTTGAGGTTCGAAAATGTTCAAATACACAAAAATTGAACTTTTTCAGGAAAAAATCGAATTATTTCGA